ATCTGGTCACACAAAAGCCCATTTAACACCCACTAAACCTAACTTATTCATTGGGCTTGACAAAAGCCCATTTCACACCAACTAAACCTATAGTCTTCTCCGTCTTCTTCGTCTTCTCCGTCTTCGTCTTCTTTCTGCAGAATTTCTGCTGCCAAGCTCCTGTTGGCCATTTTCTTCTCCTTTATTCCCATAACATCCTCTTTCAATTTCTGCAAAATATTACCACAAGACTCGAAATAAATGGGTTTGCTGCCGCCGTCCATTGTCTTCTCCATGCCGTCCATTGTTTTCTCTGTTGCCGTGTCCGAGTGCACGACCAAGTATCCGACCCATATCCCATGTCAGTATTCGTGTTATGCCGTGTTGATATGGATACTTCTCCATTTTTGAAGAGTCCAAGCAACATAAGACACACCAACCAACCACCATCTTAAAGACTCACCGATGTGACCGCAACCCAATACCAGCTCCTGAGCACCAAACATTGACAAATTCGACCAAAATTATTTGCCTGAAGTTGGTTCCTCACTTCCGGTTGGTTATTTCCAATGGCCTTTAAAACTTGCAAAAATTTCTCCTTCTACGCCTAACTTCTTTCTTTCTTAGTTGAGAAATTGAGCAGGGCGGCGTATGGTGGTTGGGGTCACTCTACCCACGAGACGTTATCTCGAGGGTGCTCGTAGGTGGATGTTGGCCAGAGAAATGCAATGCAAGGCCAAGGTGAGGTTGGGTTGAATGTTAGCAAAGACTTTGGTTCTCAAGTTGTTTGTCTGGGGTCACATGCAGGCAATGGGTGCTCAGGTTTCCAGAATTTTTTTTCATTTTTGTAGTTAAAACTGGAGTGCAAATTTGTTTATTGGAGTAGGGTTGCTGTTAACTATAATTCATAAGGGAAAGGAAGTGATCAGCACATTCTGGATCAAATCCACGACTTAATTAGTTTATCCTTTTTTCATTTAGATTCTATGACCATACTTTTTCACTTTGCGAATACTATTTTGATCTCCAATAAGTGAAAGTGTAGGTAACTACTTACCATCATAATATTTTCTGTTTAGAGAACTCATTGTGGTAAGTAAATAAGGAGGATATCTCTGAAAATGTCTCCCTTTTTGTGAGCTTTTCCTGCCGAACCCCACATAGTTGTCTAACACAATAATTTTCTTTCTAATTCATGTTTTATTATTATTATTTTTTTTATATTTGTTGTATCTTATATTTTATTTCCTCTTTCATCTGTGGTGGGGGGCAGTCAATTCTTATTTCCTATTTATTTTAGATTGCTTTTCATTTTTATCTTTATTTTGAGTTGACAAAAAAATTTGTTTCAAGTACAAATTGGCTTCTTTTAAAGCATTGCAAGGACATCACAATTAGTTTGAGCAACGAAAGGAAAATGGCTTGCAGCTAGGTATCTAAATATAAACCTCTCTGTGAATCGCACACTGTCATGGTGTGCAAGTGGATAGAAATACTGACGACACATTCTAGTCCAAGAGGTATAGGATTTATGCATTGAAACTACTACGACTGTATAACTGAGAAACCACTGGTTATTAATGCGTGAACAAGGCAGATCCTGTTAATTTTATATTTTGTTCCGAATTATGCAGTCAGCAGCATTAATTGTAGACCCCCAAAAAAAAAAAATCTAGACCAACAGGAAATTATGAGATTGCAAGTTGGCTTAATTAAGTCCTAGTAGGAAAAATTCTAGTTCTTGCTGTCCCTTTGATATTACTGAGTGGTTTGAATCCTTATCTCACGTGATGGATAATT